ACCTATATCTGAGAGGGGTGGACATAACAACTTTTAAAAACCTATACCTGAGAGGGTGGGCATAACAACTTTTAAAGAACCTATATCTGAGAGGATGGACATAACAACTTTTAAAGAACCTATACCTGAGAGGGTGGGCATAACAACTTTTAAAGAACCTATACCTGAGAAGGTGGACATAACAACTTTTAAAGAACCTATATCTGAAAAGGTGGACATAACAACTTTTAAAGAACCTATATTTGAGAGGGTGGACATAACAGCTTTTAAAGAACCTATATCTGAGAGGATGGACATAACAACTTTTAAAGAACCTATACCTGAGAGGGTGGACATAACAACTTTTAATATTTTTTTCCCCTTAAAGTAACATTCCATTGGAAGATGAACGTTTGTTCAAAAGCATTGAACTTCAATAGAGATAAAAGATTCGATAAGGGAATATTGATTTACACAAACTCAATATGACAATTAGGCCAATTAAACTGGATATGTCCATCCATGCACGAAGAAGACCAACTAATGCTGGATGTTTTATGTCATGAAATAGATTAGTAAAGGTTTTTAACGTATACTTCCAGAAAAGCTATATGTTTTTAAACAATTCAAGAAGCTTTTGTTCGAAAAGAGAGAGTAAACAAAGATATTAGAAATACTATCAGCAATGAATACTTACTGCGCGAGATGTATCAAATAATTAGTAGACTTGCAGTATAATGTACTGAATTATTTATCTAATATCGTAAAAAATCAGGTCCACTTACATTATCTGTTCTATCCAAATTCAAGTACAAATGGTCAACGCTTAATTTAACACAAGATAGTCAAACACACTTGAAACCCCAGATCTGTCAAATCTGAACGTACTTGTGCAGGTACCGTCGAAACATATCATACGTTTTCTACAATAAATGTCATTGTGTTTACAGATTTGTTTGTTAAGTCTTAACATAACATCAATGTGGGTTATTGGCCCATATTTTGGGTCCAGATTCAACTTGGACTAGTAACTTTGAAAGAGATATACATCCGCAAAACATAAAATTAGTTCCACAATACAATGATATGGAATTAGGCTTACAAATACGTTAGCATTACATATTTTTAGTTTGACAAATTACATACAGTGTTATCAATATGGGTATTTTAAATATTACAAGTTTACTACTAATAAAGCTTATATATCTAGAAATTGTATAATTGTTGGTTGTGAAACATATTAGTACAACTGAATTGTAGTATAGCTTAGAAATCGACTTACATGTTAATATCAGACAATTTATAAGTTAGTACATTATACCACATAATGGGCCCGGCATGGCCAGGTGGTTAGGGCGCTCGACCTTCAATCTGAGGGTCGCGGGTTCGTCACACCAAACATGCTCGCCCTTTCAGCCGTGGGGGCGCTATAATGTGACAGTCAATCCCACTACCAACAAAGAGTAGCCCAAGAGTTGGCGGTGGGTGGTAATGACTAGCTGCCTTCCCTCTAGTCTT